GGCGGGCGCCATTTTGTGCGCGGTGCGGGGCGCCACCATTTTGCGGGCGGCGCTGCCACCGCCCGTTGGCGCGGGCTGAGGGCGGCGCTCTCCCCCCGTTGCAGAGGCGCTAATCAGGAATACGCTACTGGAGAGTTATTCCTCTTAAATTGTATCTGCCGCTGTCACGGCTCTTCGAGCCCCAGGTGAGACCCAAAGGGCGTCGTGATGCCCGCTCCGCCCTGGGCGGCAGCGCGGGTGCCGTGCCTTCCCCACAACAGGCCTCGTGCGGAGCGAGAGCCGGCCACCCCGCTTAGCGTGCCTGTCGGGGTCCAGCAGCGCAGCTACAAGGCCTTGCACGCGCCTTGCGAAGCGTTTTTCCCTCTTCCCTAGAAAAAGGAAGAATCCAGCTTTACGCCAGAAGATGCAGTGCTGGCGTCTGTTGGCATCGTGAAGTGCAGCCCTGACCACGGGCTGCTGGTGTCGGAGAGCATGTGCCTGGCCCTGGAGGAGCTGATCCAAGCGTGCTGTGGTGAGTGGCATACGCGTGGTGAGGCCGGGGGCTTTAGTAGACAGAGGAAAGGAAATTCATGAGGCTTTCCATGAGTTAAAGTTGGGGAGAGCCTGCCCTGTGACAGGCACTGATTGGGGGTCGTATTTTTCTCCTAAAGAATGGGACTCTTGAGCTCATGCATCGCCCTGAGTGGGTTTGTGCTTCTGCTGGCAGGCAGGCAGCTCACTGCTGTAAAGGCACTTCCCAGTCTGACAGCAGAACTCATTTTGCTCTTTTTGGTGGCAGGTAGAAAAAACACCCCCTTACTTATCCAGAAACATCTAAAATACTGTGAGCAATTAGAGTTGATACACGCTGGCTTGTAGGGCTGGGGCTTGCTTCTCACTTCAGAAGCCTTTTTGCTTTATGCTGGTACGCTTAACATGCTTCTCTTTAAGGCATTATTTTTTTTCTGTGTAATTAAAATATATCCTAGTCAGATTGCAGAGTCTTGTAGGGCTTTTGGAGCTATTTTTTTAACAAATTTGTGTAAACAGGGCATATCATAATAACTGACAGCATTGGTCCATTTCAGATTATGTTTCTTTTTCCAGCGGAAGATGAAGGTGTTCCTGTGGTTCTGGTGTGTGGCCCAAAAAACACTGGGAAGTCGACATTTAACAGATACCTAGTTAATCTGTTACTGAATCGGTGAGTCTTTTCATGTTCTACAGGTTTTTAAGTACTGCATGGGATTTGGGAGAAGGAAAAACTGCCTGCCAAGATTTTCAGAAAAGCTGTTACAACTGGAAGGTGGATATCCTTTAAAAGCAAACAAACAAAAATTCAGAAAAATAAGCATTCCTGTCTTGGGTGCCTTTCAGAAAAGTTGACTACTGAAATATTTCTATCGAAATACTTCTATCAAAATACTACTAAAGTGCTGTCTTGGAATATGTGAACTAAGTGGGCACCGAGCAGTTAGAGTTGAATAAGGAATTGGGGTTATAACACTTAAAAACATGCAGTGAGTTATAATTTGTTAGTGTCTTTGAAGATTCTTGGCAGAGCAAGGCGTAGAAGCTTATTTCCCTGACCACTGTGTGCTTAAATTAAGATTATAAAGTTATAAATCTCCAATGGCTGGTCTCAGGATTCCCAGTTAATGTGGGAAAGGCAGTACACTGATCAGTGCCACCTCTGACTATTGTTCTAGCTACTTCCCTTAAAGCTGAATAGGTATGGAGCTATTGTAATATAATAAAGAACTGTAGATGAGCCTTTTACGTTCTTGCTTAATACCCTCTCAAGTGCGGGAAGGAGCGAGAGGAGTGGTGGTTTGATTGTGTTCAAGAATTTAAGTTTGACAACCTGGAACAAAAATCAGCTTGTGTTTCTGATGTGTTCCAGGTCATGTCCTGTTTCTTTTTTTAGTGGACGCTAATATATAGGCTTCTTTCACTGCAGCCTTCCCTCAGTTGAATATATGGAATGTGACATAGGTCAAACTGAGTTTACGCCGCCTGGATGCGTGTCTTTAAGTAACATAACAGAGCCAGTTCTCGGTACGTGTTTTGCCATTTTCTGCAGTTGCCAGAAACCTGTTTCATTTCCGGAAGGTGCTTTCTGAGTAGAGGCTGTACTTCAGGGGAAGTTGGCCACAGCTATCGAAGGTGCACATGGAAAATAAAACAAAGGCTGTTAAAGGTCTCTTGCTAGGGGCATCTAAGCTCCATGCGAGTATCTCCCTAAGTAACATGGAGCTATCTCCCTGCTTGTTTTCTCTGTTTTAAAGAGAGGAGATAGTTGCTTATATAAAGTGGAGGAACAGGCTGTGGCATGTCAAAGCGGATTTTCAGCCTTTCGGATTTGAAAGGTCTCTTTGGGAAAATCTTTCCAGTTTTTGGCATCCATAGGTAAAACTAGCTTGAGAAATGCCAAGGGGATCCATGTAGGTTGGGGGCTGTTGTTATGAATGTAAAAAAGCTAGAGCGAGAGAAGTTGCTTGGATTTGTGGTCTTGTGGATTTGGGTCGCTGTCTGAAAAGGATATGGCCAGGCTGGTTTACTTTTTGGATGGTCTGTCACAGAAGACTGTTTTAAAATTCACAAGTGTGTAACCAGTTACTTCAAACAAACAAACAAGGAAAAGAAACAAACAAAAAAAACTTCCTAGCATGGAGTCTTGCAAGTGACAGAAGAGTTTTTCCGTAGGTGCATGCTGGATGAGAAGGGCTGTTAGAATGTGAAAAGAGGACAGATTGTTTTGGAAGGGATTGCATTAGGTCCTAGAGGGATCGGAGTTTTTTGATTTGACTTACTGAAACCACTACAAGTTTGCTGCTTGCTTTTCAGGTCCACCGTTCACTCATCAACAAACGCCACGTAAGATGGTGTATTACGGACAGACTAGTTGCGAGCAGGACACAGAAAGATACCTTGATGTCGTGAAGTACGTGTTCAGCTCTTACAAGAAGGAAGTGCCTTTAGTGGTCAACACCATGGGCTGGGTGAAAGGTAAACAGGATGAATCAAGTGGTGGTGTGGCAGGAGGGTAATAGTCGTAGTGGTACACAACCACGCTTTCTGGAGTCCAGAACATACATCTTGCCCACCTGGAGCTAGTACTGGTCTTCCATAACCGCGTTCTGACCTGTTTATGTCGTGGCAGCAATCGTGTTTTCTCTCCTCCCCAAAGGTGAGGGGTTGCTGCTCCTGATTGATATCATTCGGCTGTTGTCGCCCAGTCACATTGTTCAGATGGATGTGTACGACTGGAAAGCCATGGCTCCACTCACCCCGGAGTACGTTCATCTCACGCCTGGCCTGTACACCAAAGGCAAACAGCAAGCCAAGTGCAAGCAGATGGGCACGAGTGGAGCGGAGCACTGGAAGCCCTCCGAAGCCGGGGGAGATGCATCGGCTCCCGAGTACAAGTTGCTGTATGTCCATCCGGAGTTCCCTCGAGCAGGGGTTGCAGGTGAAGCGTAAGTAGAAAGTTTAGCGCTATGTGGTGGTTAGTGTGCTCAGCACAATCATACGTAGTCCTAATGGCGAAGGCTCTTGCTTTGCTTTGGCTTCAAGAGCTCCATTAAATTTTGTTATTAGTTTGCTTATTGGCTTGTGTTTGGTGGTGTTTGTTTTAGTTTTCTGGGTACTTTGTTGGGGGGGGGTGTTTATGGGAAGGTTTGTATAGGGTTGGGTTTTTAGGTTGGTGGGGAGGGGGTTGTTCCTCCCTACTCTACTCCCAGTGACTGCTGACAGTTGCTTTTATACTGGACGTGACTTCTACTTGGAATCATTGACTATTACGCCTCTCTTCTTTTCTAATTGGAAGGTTCCGTACCCATTCTTACAGACGTAGATGACGATTATGTTATTTCTTAATTTCACTGATACTTTGAGCATCTCTGAAACGTTTATTTTCCTGGATCTTGGGTCTTTCTTGCTAATTTTGACTTGGCCTTCGCTAAGGAGTTATTTAAGAAAACAAATTTACTACTGTGTTGTGCAACTGACTGACTGAAAGGTGTGTGGTTGTCAGGGTTGGAGAAGGGAGCCGTTATCTAATAACAGACTTTGTTTCAACTGTAAAAAGGTATTATTAACAAGGATGGTGCTTAGTTTTTTATTTAACAGTGCGCTAAATACGGTGATCCCTTAGAGGTAGTAAAAACACAGCTCTAAATTTTCTTCAGCTGTAGAAGTTTTAAAAACTAAACTTGTGTGAAATAGCAGCTCGTACTGCATGGCGTGCTCGGGACTGTCTGGGGTGGCTGGTTGGAATCGCTGTGTGAGGGTGTGCTGCCTTCCCTTGACTTGTTGGGGTTATTTTCCAGGCGAGTACATAGCAGCATCTTGCGTGACATGTCCATACTGGGTTACCTGGGTCAGCTGCAGTCCCCAGACATCGGGGCTGTGCTTCCGCTGCACAGTCTTGTGCCGTATCAGGTAAATGAGCGTTTTTGAAAGGCTTGGAGATGTTGCAGAGAGCCCGGCTTGTAGTAATTGACAGTTCTGCTTGTACTGCAAATGTTTTTCGGAAGAGGGAAGAACACTGTGTAATCTGCAAAAAGATAACAACTTTATTCAGTGTTTCTAGAAGTGAGGTTTTTGTTGAGGTGTCAGTGTGGCACGTGTTCTCTGTGTGCTCAGTTGTTAGTGTTGAATCTGGTTCTGTTTGCTGCGGAGATAATGCCTGTCTGTAGGTGTGGGTTCGGAGCTCTCGGGTTTTGTGTACTTAGCATTATCTTATCTCTGAACTGGAACTGAATCGATGTTGAGCCGATGAACAGTTTCTTTTTTGTACCCCCTCAGGTACCTTTCAATGCTGTTGCGCTCAGGGTTATTCACACCGACGTTGCTCCTTCCAACATCATGTATGCAGTGAACGCCAGCTGGGTCGGGCTCTGCAGGATACCGGATGAAATCAGATGCCAAACGGACGGGCCGGTCTTGCTGACACAGACACCGGTCTGTGATTGCCTTGGCTTCGGTGAGCCACTCCGGGAAACCTCGAGCTGCCTTCTCACCTGTCGTGTTTGACAGATAGGTTGCAGAGTGACGGAATTGCCTGCTCTTGCAAAAACAACGGGAAAAGTGGGATGAGAGAAAAGAATAGTCATATATTCTCTTCTATTACAAGCTGTGCTTCAGGTCCTTTAGTTTCCACTGACTTGTGGTAACAGCTGTGGGGAGTGTCCCTGAGCGGCGCCTGTTGCAGCTTGCTGCTCTCGCTCTTTCACAACGCGACTGTTTACTTGCTTTCTGGATACGTATTCTCAAAAACAGATGCCACGTGGATTATGCAGAATTCCTTCTCTTGCCTCTGTTTGCTTCTGCGACTCACTTTGACATTACAGTTCCGACTCGGAGTTTCATCCTGAGCTCCTTGAGTTTCTGTTGGAACGTGCCAGTGAACAGGGATACATGGTTTGGGAAGTTCGCTGTTTGTATGTACGCTGAGATACCGGAAAAGTGGGATACAGCAATGCAAGTTTTTCTCGAGACGTGTCTCAAATCCTTCTCTTGCTTCAGGAAGAGCTGTTTATTCAGAGGGCTCCAGCAGTGTCTGGTTGTACAGTTCGAAGTGATCGGGTGGAGTTAAGACTGAACTTTGCATGTTTGTTTGTTGTTTGGGATTTTTTTAGGAATTGTCCGAGGGGTTGAGATGGAGAAGAAGCTTTACCACATTCTGACGCCGGTGCCTCCAGAGAACCTGAGACTAGTGAATTGTCTACTCCTTGGAAATATTGCTATCCCAAACTGCGTTCTTGTGGGCCAGGTAGGAGCTGCACGGGAAGAGGGTGGGAGCTGGCTGAGCCTCGGCTGGCTGGCGGGTTTTCCGTTTTCTGATTTCTGAAGCTTTATGCGTGCCCAGAGATGTCTGGGCATTCGCAGATGGTTATCTCTGTAGGAAATTGTCCTTAACTGTAGAAACAAGGGAGAGGAGAACGTTCTTCTCATGTTTCAGATACCAGAGTGGGGTTTGTTTGCCAATAGCTTGCTCCTTTCCACCAGTCAGCTCTGTCAGTCTGCAGGGGAAGGTGCTGCTTGTGCCGTTGGAGATAGGAGTTCTTAAGGTTTTGTTTTTTCTCTTTCCAGCAAGGAGTTGAGGGAGAGATCCCCTATGTCACATCCGATTATAACTACAGCATCTTGGGGTCTGGGAAGCTGAAAAAGAAGAAGCATTTCAAGAGGAGGGAGTACGCGTTCGAGTGTGACTATACCTGAAGCCTTGGGACCTCGGGTGGCGGGATTTGTTTCGTGCGCGGACTGGCAAGAGCGCGGTGTGGTCACAGAAGCTCTGGTGCTACAGAGCTCTGGGACCCTGGAGAGGAGTCTGGTGGAGATACTGCAGCATGTCTGGTTTTGATAATGTTTTATATTTTCAGTATGTATTTTGGTGTTTTGTAATAAATATCTATTAAAAACGTTGGTTTAGCTTGAATTTTTTCCTCAGCCTGTGTTGACTTGGGCACGGCTGACAGAAGCAGTGGGTGGTTCCCAGGGAGCGCGCGCTCTGCTGCGGATCGGAAGCAGTTCCCCGTTTGAAGCCTCGCCTTCGGTTAGCTCTGGGTTTTGGAGAACGATCCCTGGGGCACGGTAGCTGTAACCCTGGGCTGCTCGTGGTTTGGGAGAGGTCCTGCCGGCGGTCCTCTCCCTGGCGCTGTGGCTGACCCGCGGCTCTGGGTGTTCCGCTCCTCCAGGGCACAGGGAGGAAGGAGCGGGTTGGAAAATCCTCTCTCCCCTGGGTGACCGCGGCTCCAGCCGCTGGAGGAAGGCGCCCGCTCCCTGCGTCCCTGCGCTGCCACAGCTCGCCTGTGACCGACACGGCGTCATCCCACTGCGTTTAAGTTCACGGTTCAAGTTCAAGACCCCGAGTGCCGGTCTGGGAAGAGCTCTGGGTCCAGCTGGAACGTCTGAATAGGTTGTGCGATGGGCAGAGGCTAAAACGGGACGGGAGCGGGGAGGAACTGGGGACCCACGTGCTGTGCAGTGCGCCGGGCTGCTGTGTTGTGCCCTGGGAAAGACCAGAGGAACCTTTTTTTTCTTTATTTTTCCAGCTCTCTGTCAGGGCAGCGATTTGCTCCTGAGTGAAGATGAGGTTGGTGGGAGTCACGCAGAGGTGAGCGAGCGTCTCGGGCTGAGTTAAGGACCTTTTTGGCAAAACCACTTCTCGATGGGTAACACCATCCCTTTTAACGGATCCGTGACTGCAGAAATAACCTGGCAGCTAACGGTGGTTCCTGCGACCATGGCGTGGCTCTGTCCGTGTCCCAGAGCAGGGGGACAGTCCGGCCGCGGGGTCTGCGCCCCCCCGAGACGGGCGCCCGTTCAGATCCCCTGTGGCCAGGTCTCTCCCACGGAGGAAGGAGGGATGCGATGCTCCGCTCAGTGCTGCATCTTTTCAGCTTGCGGCCACTGCGGGTGTGAGTAATGTGTGAAAAATGCTTTTATCTGGTTTGCCAGGAGATTTCTTTGGGCTCCAGAAACATGTACCTGTAAAGGAACAAATTAAACGGGATTACTGCTGGAGAGGAGCTGCGAAGCGCTGTGGGGCGTTGCTGCCTTTGAAAGAGTTAAAGCTTTAACTTAATCCAGGCCTAATTATCCCCATCTGGCTGGGTCTGGCAGTGCAGGAAGGACTTGGCCGGCAACCTGGCCCGAACAGTGGCTAAAATAAATACGGGGGCCGTGGTGCAGCCGGGGGGAAAATCCCGGGCGAGGCGGGGGTTCGAGTCACAGGGGAGCGGGCGGAAAAGGCGCTGGGAAAGGTGAGACGGGCGAGCGGCGTGGGTGAAACACCCGGGGCTGAGCATCCCCCTCGGTGCTGCCGCCAGCACCCCCCAGCATCCTCCCGGCCAGCCCGGGGTG